CTACTACTACTACTACTACTACTACTACTACTACTACTTCTACTACTACTACTACTACTACTACTACTACTACTACTACTACTACTACGACTACGACGACGACTACTACTACTACTACTACTACTACTACTACTGCTACTGCTACTGCTACTGCTACTGTTGCTACTACTACTTCTACTTCTACTACGCGCTGTTCCTCCTGCCTCCCTCCTCCTCCTCGTCCTCCTCATTCTCCTCCGCCTAATTACTCCTTTTCCTCCTCCTCTTCCGCCTCCTCCTTCTTCCCCTTTTTCTGAAATCCTGAAATCATGAAGGCAAGAATGTTTTTCAGACGTTGCCCTTCCACCTCCTACTCCTCCTGCTCCTCATAATCATCCTCCTCGCCTCATCCTCCTCCTCCTACTCCTCCTCCTCATTGTCGTCGTCCTCTTCCTCGTCGTCGTCGTCGTTGTCATCGTCATCGTCATCGTCGTTGTCATCGCCGTCGTCGCCATCCTCGTCAACACAAGGATCATCATTCTCAGAATCCTCATCATCATCAAAATCATCAGATAATCACCACAACAACCACTGGCATCGTCATCATCATCCCCATCATCATGACCACTACACAACCACCACCACCACCGTAATCGTCATCACCAGCAGCAGCAGCACCAGCATCAGCATCAGCACCACCAGCACCAACATCAGCATCAGCATATCATCACAACCACTGTCTTCACCATCGTCGTCAACATTATCTCTGTCCTCCATGGAGAAAGGGAGAAGAGGGACAGCGAGGGAGGGAGAGCAGGTGAGGAAGACGAGGGGGGGCAGAAAGGCCGGACGCCCGATTTCGATACGACGGCAAAGCCTGCTGACTTCCGTCGGGGCCCGTCGGGCCAGAATACGTACAAATGCGCCGCGCGCGCGCCAGTCACGAGAGGCACACACTCGGGCCTCAAGCGGAAAAGCTTTGGGAAAAAGCTGGCCTGCGGACAGAAAACTACAGCTGGCCAAGCAGCCACAAACACAACACTACTGGATGAATTCGGAAGCGCGTCCTACTCATCGGCCCTATCTCTACTCACCTAACCAATGCTTGCTCTCCACCTCGCCCCTTTCTTCCTCACCGACCGTTCCCAGTGTCGCTTTGCAACCACCACCACACCGCCACCGCCACCACCACCACGCGTCTTCCTACATGTTTGCACCGATCGGGGCAATCAAATGGAACCTGCGACGAACCCGATTGTCGAGAGGCATGGTAAAGCGTTGCCACGTTCAAGGAGTAAGAACTCCAACGACCCCCGATCAGGCATCTGACTACGAAGTGCACTGTAGCGCTCTGCGTTGCAACGCGCTGCCTCTGCTCTGCATCGCTCTGCTTCGCACCGCCTTGCACTGCGTTGCGCTGCACGGCTCCACGCCCAAGCACCTTCCCTTCCCTTGCGCTGCATCTGCACTGCACTGCTTTGTTTCGCGCCAATTTGCCCTGCGTTGCGCTACAAAGTTTCGCGTTCCACTGCATCACCTTGCCTTTGCTTCGATCCGCACTGCGCCGCGCCACGTTGCACTGCCCTGCACTCGCTTGCACTGCGTCGCGCTGCTCTGCGAGGGGGGGGGGAGCAGGTCCTCGAGGGCAAGGGGGGGCCGCGGCGTCCTCCCGGGCGGGAGGCGGGGGAGCCCTCCAGGGGGCACACGAATTGCCTCGCGAACAGCTTCAGCACAAGAGTTTTGGCAGGGCTCGAGCTAAACCGTGTTATTCGCTGTCGTTTGCTATTGATGCTCCTTCGTTCTGTCTTCGTTCTGCCTCTGCTGCGAAACGAAATCAAAACGAAAACGGCCGACGAAATCGCCAAAACACTGTTTAGCTCGAGCCCTGAGTTTCGGTATTGATCATCTGCCGACGCCACGCTGGCGAGCGGCCCCTGACAGGAGCCACCGCCGTACGGAACGTCGCACAGGGTTGCACTATGGTCAGAATTTCGGTGAGAATCCATCCGTGGCGACGAGGAGCTCTTCAGGACGACCAGCGATATCGGTACCTTTTCCTCCCCTGGCCTCCTCCCCCAAACGGAATGAAGCGCGATACTAACGCGCCCAGTCCAGCCTGCACCCCAGAAGTCTCGAGGACTCGAACCATTTCGCAGCCGTCTGAGGGCCAAACAGCTGGCGGCAGGGGTGGCGGCACCCGCACGTCCCTAGAACAGGACCGCGTGAAGAAAACGCCTTCTTGCTGACCAGTGCCGCAAGCGCTCCCGCATGCACGGGAAGAGCGGGGGGGCGTAAAGGTGAAGCAGGGGTAGAGCTGGGGTCAGAGAACCCTTGGCCTCAAACAAGACAACCTCGGCTCAAGAAGCTCGGCCCCTCGGAAGGCGCCAGGACCTCTGGGGTTCGAGAAGAACCGCTCCGAACGGCCCTTGGAAGAACAAGGAGAAGAAGAAGAAGAAGAAGAAGAAGACGTGAACATCTGGCTGGCCTCGTCCCTTGACCCCGCCCTGAGACCGAACACCCTCCTCCACCGTCATCGATTCCTGTTGGTGTCCCCCTGGGCCGCCTTAGCAAGTTCACAAATGTTTCGCCCCCGATCTGTCCGCGCGAGCACTGGCTGGCGCCCGCGGCACTCCACCGCGCTTCGCCGCGCGGCTGCCGCCCGCCCTGGGACCGCACCGCCGGCAGATCAGCTCAGGTCGGTGCCGCAGCGCCCTGTTGCCGGCACTCCTTCCCTCCCTCTCATTCTCCTCCCTCCTTCCTCCTCCCGCCGCCCGCCTCCCTCCCTCCCGCCTCCCTCCCTCCCTCCTCACCCCTCCCTCCTCTCCAATCCGCAGCCCCGAGTCTGCGGGCGAAAGGCCCCCGGCCCAGACCTCGGGAGGGTCGCGCGGCACAATCAACTACCTTCGCGCCCCCGTGCGGGGAGGGCGGGGAGGCAGAGGAGGAGGAGGGCAATTGCCCTGAATGCGCTCCCCCTCCCCCAATGCGGGGGAGGGGCGGGAAAGGTGCGCATGGCCCCGGGAGTACCCTTCAACCGCCAGGAGTGAGTGAGTGAGTGAGTGAGTGAGTGAGTGAGTGAGTGAGTGAGTGAGTGAGTGAGGAAGTAAACGAAACACGACTAGCGGGCAGGGGCGGCCAGCCCCGAGAAAGAGGAATGGAAAGAGGAGGAGCGGCCGTCGCCGTCGGGGACCGCACTGGTCGCGGTGTCCGCGGCGGTCGTCGGCGTCGCAGTTGTGCTCGTCGAGGAAGCGCGTCGCCATGCCGCCGGGATGGTGCCGTGGTGGTGGTGGTCGCGGTGGGAGCTGCGGGCCTCACTGGCCTCTGGCGCTCATCTCTGCGTTGCCGCCTTGGGGCTGTCGGGGTAGATGGTGCCACACCCTGCCGAGCACCCCGCCCCGGGCCGTTTCATCAACGCTGCGCCCGTAAGTTCGGATGAACTCTGCGGTTTCGTCGGACGGGCGGCCCAATGTCTCGAAGACAAAGGGGCGAGGTCACCCCCGCCGGGGGGTGGGTCTACTCCTCCTGGACCATGGCTGCTGCGGCCACGCCGTCGTTGTTGGACCGGGCTTTCCTGCGAGGGGCGTACTCTGAGTATTCGCAAGTAGTGACCCAGTCAACGTCGACGGGCCGGTCAGTGACCAGATCCATGGTGGCAACGTGCAGCTGGGCAGCCTCCAGTACGCCTTTGCGTTGGTTGACGCGGTCCCACGCTGGGACAAGCTGCTCCGTGGCCGCGGCGAAGCCAACGAGGGCGGTGTGCAGCTGTGCGTGGCGGTGTGGGACTGTCCAATTGCGCAACACCCCCCTGGCCACCCGTAGCAGTCCAGTGGCGCGCCGCAGACGGTGCCGTCCCCGCGGCGGTGCTGGCACGCGGCGCCCAGCGGGCAGACGTAGCATCGGAGGCGACGCTTCAAGGCGCTGACGAAATGGTTGTCGGGCATGGCACGGTCGCCCTCCCCGCAAGGCAAAACGAAGCCGCCAGCCCCTGTCCCGCCGGCGCCGCGGAGCTCCAGGCGCCGCCGTCCTCCCCGAGCGCGCCGAGAAGCTCGACTCTGGCCGCGGGGCGCGCCTCCCACCACCCGCCTGGCAGCTCGGGGACGGGTTCTTGAAAGCAGCCAAGCCAACCGAATTCGCCGCTCATTGCCCCCCTGGGTGCTGAGGTTGGCGTCAGATTCCACGAGGGCCCGGTGGGTCAGGGGGCACTGCGCTCGGAAGTCATCCCTCCTCCCTCCTCCCTCCTTTTTCCTCCCTCCCTCCTCTCTTCTCCCTCCTCCTTCCCCCCTCCTCACTCCTTGTTCTCGGCCTTCTTCCCGCCCTCCCTTCCCCGCCGGTGCCACCCGGCTCTGGCGGCGGTGGCGGCGGCGCGTGCCCTCAGCCGTTGATGCCCCAGCGCAGACGGCACTTCATCAGCCGGGGCCACTCGTCTTCCGGCCAGTTGGACACGATGTCGCCGCTGACCTCCGAACAGGAAAGGCCGAGGAGACCGCGCCGCAGGGCGCCGCTCCCCCCGCAGGGCACCTCCTCCTCCTCCTCCTCCTCCTCCTCCTCCTCCTCCTCCTCCTCCTCCTCCTCCTCCTCCGCCTCCTCCTCCTCCTCCTCCTCCTCCTCCTCCGACTCCGACTCCTCCCCGTCCGCCTCCTCCTGCCCCTCCTCCCTCCCCCGCCCGCCCCCGCGCGTTTCCCCGGCTCCCCCGCCAGATGAGCGAGAGGGAGCGAAGGGGAGGGATAGAGACAGAACGGACGGACGGACGGACGGACGGACCCTCACATGCACGCTGGGGTGCGGTCCCTCTAGGAACACAGCGGTGGCGCCGTGGCGCCGAGTATTCGAGGGAGAGCCGAAGAGAAATGCTGGCAATGCCGTGTGAGAGTGATGCAACATTTCGGCGGCGAGCGAGGGGGGGAGAGAGAAGGAGAAGGCCTTCTCAAAGGCGGCGGAGCTTCTCATAGGCCCTCGGGTCTTCTGACAAGTCAGTTGTGTCTTCGGGAAGGCTTTAAGAATTCTCAGAAGGCCAGGGGCCTTCCGAGCCTTCTGAGAAGGCCCGCCCCCTCTCACTTCCCCCCCATCGCCCGCCGCCGAACATTGGATGGGGGCGGGGGAGAAGACCGAGGCCAGACGAGAGAACTCACTGGTCGCACTGGGGCTTCGAATTCACGCGCCAACATCATCCATATGCGGTTGCTGAAAAAGTCTGTTCCGCAAATCTCAGACGTAACGACCTCATCCATACAATGGCAACTTGACCACGCCAGGTCACTACATTGGCAACAATTCGTGCATCTTGCACATCGACTCTAAGAGCCCATCGATCTTGGTCACAGGCCCCTCCGTGACAATATGGAATTCGGCACGCGCCCCTCGCCTGACAGAACAATGGCGCATACACTCCGAACGCTGCTCGAGATCGTGCCTTGACAACTTCTTGTGACAGCACCGCGTCGCTGTCGTCAAAGACAACGAGGAACAGGAGCAGCACATCCGACAGATCACACACGTTGAGTGATTTGTGACCGCTGACGTTGAAGGGGCTACTCTGGACACTGTTGTCCGAATTAGCCAATTCCGCGAAGCGGCCTTAAGAGTGGATCCTTTATCGTGCAAGTCTGTTATGGGATCAAACGTCAAGCGTGAAACGCTCATGATGGTATCGTTTGGACATTTTCGGCGACCATGGGATTACACACGAGGTAATCCTCAACGCACCATCCACATCTACTGTCACGCCAGAAAGGGAACGGACATGATGTTCATTCACCTCTCCATAATGTACACTAGCAACCGCACGCTCGCAGTATGAGCTGGACGAAATGACTCGTGACACCGGCGTTCGCATTGTGCACTTGCCTAGAACGGTCGCTCTTCATCTCTCGCTCTCTCTCTCCCTCTTTCTCCCTATTTCTCTGTTTCGCTCACGTTTTCTCAATATCCCTATACAATGCACCCCGATGAAGATCTGAGCCCTGCCTGCCCGCTCGTTATGTCACTCGTCCCTCCCATTGTCTAACTCAATCAACAAAGATCGCCCTCTGCTCCTCCTGCTGCCTTCGGAAGAAGAACAGCGGCACAAGCATGAACTGATGCCGTTGTTTCTTGCTCGAGTCCTGCCGTTTCCCGACACACCAGACTTCCGCCAGAGTTTCAGCTGGGCCCTGGGAGCCTCGTGCATCTCCCCGTCGATCTCCACGAATCTCGCGCCCTGCCCGCCGCCATCGCCCCACGGGCAGCGGCAGGGGGAACGAGGGGAGGAAGAGAGCGAGCGAGCGTGCAGCCGGTGCGGTGGGCTGGGCCTGCAAGAGCAGCGAGGGGCCCTGACATCCTCTGGTCGATATCTTCAGTGTGTGTCCGAATATATGCACGCATGCAGATACCGAATACACACATGCAAATACTATCCCGGCAAAGCAACCTAACAGCGATGTGTAGAAGCATATCTGGAAGCATTCCCCTTATGATTCAGGTGAGAATCCAGTTGTAGAATTCTGCTGTTCTCGCAGTCGCAGTCGCATTCGCAATGACAGTCGCAGTGGCAACGGCCTTAGGATCCAATGGAATCCTAAGGATTCCTATGGATTCATAGGGATTCCTAATGCATCCTCAGGCATCCTTAGGAATCCATAGGAATCCTTCGGAAACCTTAGGAATCCTTAGGAATCCTGATTCCTAGGGATTCCTAGGGATTCCTAAGGATTCATGGGGAATCCTCAGTATTCCTAAGGATTCCTGAGGATGCTTAACTATGCCTACGGATTCCTAAGGATGCCTACGGATTCCTATAAGGATTCTTATAAAGATTCCTAGGGATTCCTAAGGATTCCTATGGATTCCTACGGATGTCTCAGCCTGCCTCAGTTTCAGCCTCAGCCTCAGCCTGCCTCGGCTTGCCTCAGCCTCAGCCTCAGCCTGCCTCGGCCTCAGCCTCAGCCTGCCTCGGCCTCAGCCTCAGCTTGCCTCAGCCTCAGCCTCAGCCTGCCTCGGCCTCAGCCTGCGTCAGCCTCAGCCTCAGCCTGCCTCGGCCTCAGCCTGCCTCAGCCTCAGCCTCAGCCTTAGCCTCAGCCTGCCTCGGCTTGCCTCAGCCTCAGCCTCAGCCTCAGCCTCAGCCTCAGCCTGCCTCGGCCTCAGCCTGCCTCGGCCTCAGCCTGCCTCAGCCTCCCCTCCTCCCCCCCCCTTCCCCCCCCCCCATTCAGCCTCACCTTGTCTCAGCTTCGGCCTGCCTCGGCCTCATCCTCAGCCTCAGCCTCAGTCTCAGCCTCAGCCTGTCTCGGCCTGAGCCTGCCTCGGCCTCAGCCTCAGCCTGCAGCCTCAGCCTCAGCCTCAGCCTCAGCCTCAGCCTCAGCCAGCCTCAGCCTCAGCCTCAGCCTGCCTTTGCCTCGGCCTCAGCCTCAGCATGCCTCGGCCTCAGCCTCAGCCTCAGCCTGCCTCAGCCTCAGCCTCAGCCTGCCTCAGCCTCAGCCTGCATCAGCCTCAGCCAGCCTGCCTCAGCCTCCTCAGCCTCAGCCTGCCTCAGCCTCAGCCTCAGCCTGCCTCAGCTTCAGCCCCAGCCTCAACCTGCCTCGGCTTGCCTCAGCCTCAGCCTGCCTCAGCCTCAGCGCCTCAGCCTCTCAGCCTCAGCCTGCATCAGCCTCAGCCTCAGCCTCAGCCTGCCTCAGCCTCAGCCTCGGCCTGCCTCGGCCTCAGCCTGCGTCAGCCTCAGCCTCAGCCTGCCTCAGCCTCAGCCTGCCTCAGCCTCAGCCTCAGCCTGCCTCAGCCTCAGCCTCAGCCTGCCTCGGCGTGCCTCAGCCTCAGCCTCAGCCTGCCTCGGCCTCAGCCTGCCTCGGCCTCAGCCTGCCTCAGCTCGGGCATTCAAAATATGGCACAGGACTGGTGTTATGGGAACACGAAGATCACGAAGTGGCCCACAGTTGGCTCCAGGCAATCAAAACATGGTACAGGAATGGTGTTCTGGGAACACGAAGAACACGAAGTGGCCTACAGTTGGCTCTGGGCATTCAAAATGTGGCCCGGGAATTGTGTTCTGGGAACACGAAGAACACGAAGTGGCCTACAGTTGGCTCCGGGCATTCAAAATGTGGCATGAGAATGGTGTTCTGGGAACACGAAGAACACGAAGTGGCCTACGGTTGGCTCCGGGCATTCAAAATGTGGCCTGGAAATGGTGTTCTGGTTCAAAATGTGGCCTGGGAATGGTGTTCTGGGGAGTCCCCGGATCTCCCCGGATTCCCGCGGCACCCGTCCGGCATCTGCCCAGACCCCCCTGGGGAGTCATGATGCGCTCTTTTGAGACCACTAGAAACCTATCAGTCTTCGCTGTTAGGTAACAAAATCAACTACAAGCATCAATACCTAGACCTGTACAAATACACATGCACATACGCCTACACCTACACATACCTATATATGTGTATAAGTGTGTTTGCATACACCTACATTAAAAAAAAACTATGATAATGTATGAATATGAATATACATGTACATGTATACAGCTACACACAAACATACGTATATACATATGTGCCTATAGGTATACGTACAGGTGTGTCTACGTAAACATCTACATGCACACGTTTAGACGCACGCACACATGCTGCTAGATCTTATAAAAGTGTTGGGCCGCTTGCGGCCTCCACGGGCCCTCCCCCGGACATTCGGGCCATAAACAAGAATCTGCTGGAGATGAAAAGCTGGTCCACAGGAAGGGGTCCAGACCTCTGGGGGGCCTCGCTGTGCACAAAAACTACGTTGGGGAGGGCAAGGGCTGGGATGAGTCAGCCAGACGAAAGCGGCACGAGGACAAACTTCAGATGAGGAAAATTCGGGAGCCCCTAAAAACTGGCGGGCCTGGAAGATGTGCCGGACGCCGCGGCTGTCTCAGGGCGCGCAAGAACGCTCTGGGGCGATGCATCCGTGCCCTGGGCCTGCCCGAGCCAGGCCGCGGCATTCAAGAACAGCGTGTGGCCACTGGCAGTGCAGAGGTCGGGGGAGGCGGCGACGGGCGTTGGAGGTCGAGGAGGGTAGAAGCTGGAGGTGGGATTTTACCCAAAACTTTCAACGCGTCGACCCGACAGCAGGACTTGGCAGCGATCCCGAGCACCCACGCCTCGAACTCGTCAGTGCGACCAAGGGGCGCACACGGGACCACAGCGAATCATCCATCATTACAAGCCTCATGTCAACGATGAACCCGTGATCGTGACTGGCCTCGAAAAGCTCGAGCAACCTGTACGTGACCTATGAGCCACCGTCGCCTGCCATATCCAGTGCAAAGACGGTCTGCTTGCGGTCCCACTCTTCGGCGGCCAGGCTAAGCAGTCCTACCAACTCATCGGGGCGCGAGGTTTGCCGATTTCGTATTTCCAGTCCCCGTCTTCTCCTCCGGGGACTGGTTCCCCCGTCCCCCCTCCACATCCCCCAGACCCCCCTGTCCTTCCCCCAATCAAACGGCCCGCGTGTCTGGGCAGGGCGGGTCGCTGGCCGCCGAGGCGCCCAGAGATGGCCGATTCTGGCTCCAAGAATGCCCCAAGATAGCCCCCCAGGGGGGCCTCCAAGATGGCTCAAGAAAGCCGGCCGTTGCCCGCGTGGCCTCGTCGCCGCGGAGGCGAGCCAGGCAGCGGTAGAAATCGGCATGTACGAAATGATCCACAACGGACTTCGGCTACGCCTTGCTGACACAACGCGCACGCCATGCCCGCTGAAGCCGATGCACCCTCTCATCAACCCCTCCCCCCGTCTACGCGCATTTGGAAAGATAACGGCTTCCCCCCTCTGCCATCCGCCATCGCGCGATGTTGCACCGAAGAGAACCCTGTACGCGTACAAGCAGGAAAAAAATAGCACGGTACCCTCAGCTTCCCCAGGCCTTTTGGAATTCCAGATCGCCCTGAGTCATTTTCAAGGGCCTCACGGTCCGTAGACTTTCAGAGAGCGCTTGTTTGGGATCGGGTGCAAAAGGGCGCTGTCGCGTCTTCTGGGGCCCACAATTCTAAGCGGATCTGGACTGCTCTAGCTAAAGATATAAAGATGGCCGACCACAAATCCGCCGACCCTGTTGTCGTCGTCGTTGTCGTCGTCGTCGTCGCCGCCGCCGCCGTCGTCGTCATCATCGTCATCGTCTTAGTCGTCGTCGTCGTCACCGCCGCCGTCGTCGTCGTCGTCGTCGTCGTCGATGTCGTCGTCGTCGTCGTCGTCGATGTCGTCGTCGTCGACGTCGTCGTCATCGCCGCCGCCGCCGTCGTCGTCGTCGTCGTCGCCGTCGCCGTCGCCGTCGCCGTCGCCGTCGCCGTCGCCGTCGCCGTCGCCGTCGTCGTCATCGTCGTCGTCGCCGTCGCCGTCGCCGTCGCCGTCGCCGCCGCCGCCGCCGCCGCCGTCGCCGTCGCCGTCGCCGTCGCCGTCATCGTCGCCGCCATCGCTGGGGACCTCCTCCTCAAGCGCGCCTGCCGCAGCGAAATTGAGCAATGTCGTAATAGAGACGAAGGAGAGCCCCTTCCCTTTGATCCCTTCCCCGTCAGGGGGTGGGGGTCCCGGCGGAGGGGCGCCCCCAGGGCCCGGGTGGTGGTCCCCCTTGTGGACAGGGGGAACTGAGGGCCCCCTCTCTGGCCCCCCCCTCCCCCCACCGGTATGACCTTTGGACCCCATTCCCCCCTGTGGACAGAAGGACAGGGGCGGACAGGGGGTGGTCCTTTCTGTGGACAAGGCGATATCAAGGCCCCCCTTGTTGTGGACAAGGGGGACAGGGGGGTGGTCCTCCCTGTGGACGGAAGGAGCTACACCCCCCCCGCCTCCTCCCTGTGGACAAGGGATGCTGCGAAACGAGGATGATGGAGGAAGAGGATTCGTTCAGGACAGATTGGCAAGGGAGGAGGGGCGAAGCGAAAATGTGGGCAATATTAAAAAGATGAGGGAAGTGAAGGGGGAGCATGCGAGAATTTGCCTGCGCGTGCATGTCTGGATGTAGCTGCGAATGAAAAGACAACAAGGACCCTACTCGGCATTCACCGTCGGTCGCCAAGAGCCCGCACGACACGCGCACCGAGATTTGAGGTATGTTGGGCCAAATGAGCTCAGATTCGCTGCGCTGTTCAGCCCCACTTGCAACGTGGGACGCCGAATAGAAAAAGAAAACATATAGCAGGAGACGCGACCAGGCGATCCTCGCGGAATGGCACGTGCACTGAGGGCGCATCCTCAACCTGCGGCGTCTCCCAGGCACCTGACGGCAGAAGACAAGGGCCAGCTTGGCGGAGGGGCAAGGGGCGATGGGCGATGGAGGATGAGGAAAGACGTTGAAAAGGGAGGGACGATAGTGAGGGTGTGAATTGATTGGAACGCTACTTCTGACAGACTGCCTGTCCGTTCAACATCCCGCCCAACGCTCCTTGATACTCTGCACTGCCGATCTACTGATTTCTACTCTGCCGAAGTACGCTCTCACTTTATACGGCATTCCAACGTAGACTCGAATGACACCATAAACTCGAAAGTTGCCACAAATGTGTGGTCTCGATACTGACGGGCGCATCGGCGCTGAACTACTTAAAGGGGGTGATCGAGGGAACGAAAAGCGTAACCGCAAGGGCGGGACCATATATGAAGGGGCCCTGGGACACACAAATCCGCCGACCCCTTGGGGTCAAGGCGCGTGAGATACTTCCCCCTCCCCAAACCCCTCCCCCGGGGGCCTGGTCCGGCCGGTTTGAAGGGGGGGGGGGGGCCAAATCCATCATCCGCACATTTGGAGCCTCAGGAGGCCTCAAAACGGGCCAAAAAGGTTCCAAAGGTTCCCGGAATGGTCCAAGAGAGCTACGAATCGACGAAAGATCGCCCCAAAACGCCGAAGATTGCATCCACGCGGCTCCGTACGTCGCCAAGACGTTTGAAACAATATTACGGGGCGCCCCGAAGAGGCCCTCCAGAAGCAAAAACCGTCCCATTCCCTAGGGGAAACGTACATATTCACCACATTCACCCATTCGGCTTCCACGCGGCGCAAAACGGCCCAAGAAGCCTCCAGGATCGACCCTCGCCAGCCCAAGAGGCTCCCACAAAGGCTCCAAGACGGCGTCCCGGCGATCCACGAAGGCCCCAGAAGCCATAGCAACGGCGTAGGAAAGCCGCAGGCCAGTCCCAAGAGGGCTCCAAAACTGGGCAAGAGGGCCCCCAAAGGCTGTCCGGACGGCCCACGCGGGGGACGATTCGGTCAAAACCGCCCAAGATCGCCGCCAGACGGCCTCATGGGTGTTCAAGACGTTTGAAAACGCGACCACGAGGCGCTCCAAGAAGGCCTCCACAAGCAAAAACCGTCTCATTCCCTAGGGAAAACGTGCGTGTTCAGCATATTCGCTTCTTGGGCTTTCACGAAGCCCACAACGGCCCAATAAACCTCCAAGATCGACCCCTGTCCCCCGAAGAGGCTCCCAAGAAGGATCCAAGATGGCTTCCGGGCGCTCCACGAAGGCTCCAGAAACCATAGCAACGGCCCAGGAAAGCCGCAGGACGGTCCCAAGAGGGCTCCGAAACGGGCCAAGAGGGCTCCCAAAGGCTGTCCAGACGGCCCACGCGGGGGACGACTCGGCGTCCAAGACGCTTGCATACGCGACCACGAGGCGCTCCAAGCAGGCCTCCAGAAGCAAAAACCGTCTCATTCCCTAGGGAAAACGTACATGTTCAGCATATTCGCTCGTTGGGCTTCCACGAGGCCCACAACGGCCCAGTAAACCTCCAAGATCGACCTCTGGCACCCCAAGAGACTCTCCAAAAGGCTCCACGACGGCCTCCAGGCGCCCCACGAAGGCCCCAGAAACCATAGCAACGGCCCAGGGGAACGGCAGGACGGTCCTAAGAGGGTTCCAAAACGTCTCTACAAGGGCCTCACAGTGTCCGGACAGGCCACGCGAGGACGATTGCTGCCGCCCCAAGGGGTCGGCGGTGTGGCGTAAGCCAATGAATAAATAGACGCAAATAACAAAATTCCACGTCCGGAAGTGACGTGCTCAGCGGCAGCGTTTTCTACGCAGGCGATAATGCAGCGTATCCAATGTATTCCATTATTACATACTTGGTACATGTTGTATTGTGTTACATTATTATGTCTCCCCCCCATACACCGCCCTGGAGCCGCGCCACATGACCGTACCAAACTGGCCCCCCCCTCCGTGGGGCGAAAAAACGTACCAAAACGCATGGAACATCTATGATATCGGCCTCTAGGGCCTCCTGGGACTCCACGAGGGCCTCAAGATGGCCCCAAAACGGCCCAAGACGGCCCCAGGACGGCCAAAGATGGCCCCAAGGGGGCCCATGCGGCCCACAAGACGGCCCAAGAACCCCCAAGAGGACCCCCAATAACTCTTCCAGAAGCCAAAATCGATTATTTCCTATGGTTTTTGACAGATTTGAGCGTTCTCGTTTTTTCGGCTCTCCGAGGACCGTGACGGCCCAAGCAGCCTCCAAGAGGCCCCAAGACGGCCCAAGAGGCCCCCAAAGACGGCCCAAGAGGGGTCCGAGACGGCCATAAGAGGCCCCCACGACGGCCCAAGATGCCCTCAAGACGGCCCAAGAGGACCCCAAGAGAGCCCCAAGGCGACGGCGAGATGCCTCCAAGATGGCCTCTGAAATGGCCAGACTGCGTACGAGCGCTCCCAGACGGCCCAAGACGTACTCAACAGGCCCCAAGAGGCCCCAAAGAGGCCCCAAAGAAGCCCCAAGAGGCACCCTGCGTACTCGTATACGATAGCACGTTCTTGGGCGGGCCGAACGGCACGGCTCCACAACGACATCCTTACTGCACGTGCGGTGCTCCGACAAGAAAGGCGAGAGAGCCAACGACTGGACTGCGCATCTTCTCTTCCCATGCTGTTTTTTCGTGGGTGCGGTCGCCAAGGCCTCGGGCGATAGTGGGGCCCTAACAACATACAAAAACCAATTAGAAATCAAGAAATTCTGCCTCTTGGGCCTCTTGGGACTCCAAGAGGGCCGCAAGATGGCCAAAGATGGCCCCAAGGCGGCCCAAGACGGCCTCAGGACGGCCCAAGACGGCCCCAAGAAGGCCCATAAGACTGCCCAAATGGGCCCCAAGAGGACCCGCAAGAGCGCCTCCAGAGGCCAACATCATTGATTTTCAAATGGTTTTGAAGGATTTTAGCGTTCTCACCTTCTTCGGCTCTCAGAGGGCCATGACGGCCCGAGCAGCCTCCAAGAAGGCCCTAAGACGGCCCAAGAGGCCCCCAAGGGGGCCCCAAGAGGCCAAAGAGGGGCCAGAGCCGGCCAAAAGAGGCCCCCAAGACGGTCCAAGAGAGACCCCAAGACGGCCCAAGAGGACTTCAAGAGAGCCCCAAAAGGCCGCGAGAGACCTCCAAGACGGCCTCCGAAGGAGCCAGACGGCGTAAGAGCGCCCCAACACGGCCCAAAACGTCCCCAAGAGGCCCAAAGAGGCCCCAAAGAAACCCCTAAGAGGCCCCTACGAGGCTTCCAAGAGGCTTCCTGGAGGCCCCCAGGAGGCCTCACAACGACTGGACTGTACGTGCTCCGGACGTGCACCCCGCGACGCGAGAGGAATCCCCATATGTTCCCATATTTTCTGGGCCTCCTGAATATAGGCGGTTCCCAGGACAACCAAAGGCAGGGCCCAGTGGGCGGGACCTCATGGACGACGCCCACCCTCGCTCTGGCAGCTGAGGGAGGGACCTCACCGGAGGGGCCCTGTGTTCGACGGCCAGCCCGAGCAGCCAGAGCAGACCCTTACAACAGTGCCACGCGTCCTGGCAGCTCAGTGTGAGCTGGCGCTTCAACCCAAGAAATAAAGCTGAGGGGCGAGTGGCAAGAAAAGCTGCCACCTGGTTGCGCTCATCATAGCGTACCAGGGAGCTCGACCAATGGAGGGGGGACGACATGGACTGCACCTGGGGCCAGATGGGCAGGCAAGGAGGCGCCGAAGGCCGACGACTCGGAGCGGCTGGGACTTGGCGATTCCGAGCGATCGACGGTTGGGGATTCGACGCGCTTCTGGAGGGCGGGGGGCGAGGCTGGCGATTGCGCGCCCGAGGCACACAGACAGGCAGACAGACAGACAGACACCCAACGTCGGGCAGCGCCTGGCCCTGCATGCGGCATGGGCGGAAGCCACCACAATGCCTCAGATGTTTTTTGGGGATGGGAGGAGAACGGAGAACATCCACGAAGCTCCGATGGTCAAATCGCAACTCGGTTGCTGCTTCCTGCTAGCGCCGGCCCGAGCGGGCAAATCCTGCCCCCCTACACAGGCAGAAGCAGACAATACCTCCAATGCCTCAGGCGCATTCGTTCACGAAGCTCCACTCCTTGGGCGCGAATCAATGGGGGGCGAAAAGTGATGGGGGGGAGAGAAGAGTCCCTCTCGCGCCCTCAAGGGCCCCCTCCGGGCCCTGAAGGGCCTCTTTCTGCAGCCCTCGCTGCCCCCTTCATCGCCCCGGGAAATGGGCAACACACACGCTCTGGCGATGATGTTTTGTTGCTCGGCCAAGACTCTGCAACCTTGGCTGTATCCTTGCTTGCTCAGCGAGTTCGAGCAAAAACACTATTATGTAGAGATGCGTTGCCTGCCGTCAACGTTGTGGCACTGATGCCGAGAAGACAATGCAAGACAATGCGTCCACCAACCAGCCCCAAACAACCAACCACTATCGAGTCGCAGTGCATAAAATGCGCAAGCCGCAGCCCCCTTCTTCGAGAGAGCTGTTATACAACTTGACAATATGGACAGGATGCTTGTCGCCCAAACTCCATGCGATGCCTATGGCGGAGAAGCCTCCGCGTTGAGAGCGCCATGGCTTCACAGCGCGATTTACTAGACGCTGCACGCCTGCAGCTTGCCACTGGGTGCAGTACGGCATCACAATACGAGTCAAAGGCTGTTGCTCATGGACAGTCGTGCCAGGGAGGCGAAAAATGGGGGGCCGCACCCACAAGATTCGTGGTAATAGTGCGATGTGTGAGGAATGCTGACGCAAAATGCTACAAAACTTCTTGATCTCACTGTCGGCGTGCTGCCGCTCCGAACACAAACGGCGTACGCGGAGCGCGTGAGCGAGCGGCCATGCTCGGTGCACGCCGGCGGGATGCATGCTGCGATCGCTGAGGGGGATCCACAAAGACGACCGCTTGATATGGATGCGGTGATCCATGATGCCCGTGGAGCGCCAGCGGGGCCCACGGTAAAACACGACGTCGAGCATCTGAACCTCATCGGAGGCGATACTGTCAACTTCTAGCTTAAATACCGTTGACAGCTCTTGCAATATGCCAATAAGGGCATCCAGCTGTGCTCTGGACCCCGAATGCACCATCAGAATGTCGTCACGATACCTAATATAAACTACTATTCCGTGCAACTCACAGAAAGCTGTCGCGCTCAACTTGATTGAAATACACTGCGTCAGCAACCTCCCCACTACAAGGGAGTCCCATGCCAGCGCCGACGGTGACCTTCCAGACCTTGTCGGGCGCCGTGGGGCACGACACGTACTGGCAATCCAAAATCGCACGCAGCAGCTTGGCGTACGCATCTTGTTGGACGCCGTCGAACAAAAGCTGAGGAATGCGTGACAAGATCGGCATGCAAACCAGACATAACATATTCTTTTATGTCTATTTTCACTAAGTGGCAATCGGCTGGCACGACTGTGCGCGACATGATGTGTAATAAGTGCTGGGTGTCGCGAGCCAGAAACGGAACACGCCTAAGATGAGGGAGCAACGTGTGGGAGATCCACCGCATTGCTGGAGGCATCGGATTACGAACGCTACAGTGGAGGAGGCGCAACTCCACCTTGCCAGGAGGTTTGTGCGTCTTAACGGTGGCCCCAACGCGCGACACGATGTCTTCGCACCGGCTCGCGTCCACGTCTGAAAGCATGGCTCGCTCGAGTGCCCTGTCATCTAAAACCCTGCACGTTTCGCGAACAGCCTCGATGAAATCAGTCACCACTGTCGCCCCAAAACTGCATGGAGCGAACTTCTCTCGGTAAGCGGGGCCAGACAATAGATGCATGTAGCGATCGTGCAAATCGCTCTTGCGGATCAAACAAAAACCAGCATCTTTATCTGTGGGGAGCGCCCCGACGCCCGTTTTTTGGAGGAGGGAGAGAGCAAGCCGAATCACTGCGGGTACTGGCGGAGCGCGACGCCGGCTCTGTACAAGGCACGCCTGCCAGACCTCACGCCTGACAGCGTCAACCATGCACTGCAGAGACAGAGGCAAAACAACATCACACGGTTTGCAATATCTTTTTTTGGATCGCAACCGCCACCAGCTTTCGCCAGCCGTTGGGTCTTCGGCATTAGATCCGAAAAACCATCTCCAACGAAGCTTATGCTCCCAATTCCAAAGGGCAAGAGAAACGTGAGACAAAGAAGATTTGGGTGTCATGCGAAACACGTGCTTTCGATGAAACATCGTAAGCAAAAAACCGGACTGGCCAGGCCAGCTCGGTACCTGAAGGAACAGTCGCACAATTCGAACGCGGGTGAAACAAATAAACTGGTTTATCATCACATGATAGCAAAGAGTTGAAATCAGGGGCGGGGAGATCCCGAGTGAACTGCAGGAACAAACGGGCCAGCCTCACCGTCACGTCCCCCTCCCTCGCCGCCTGCCTCCGGCGGATCTGCCACGTCCAGATCCTCTCGCGCTTCCTCGTGCGCCAGCGCCCTTCCCGGCGCTCGTCTTGCCGGACGCCTTGCTCTTGCCTTTGCCCTTGCCCTTGGACTTGCCCTTTGACTCGCCCTTGGGGGAGGGCGTGGCTTTCCCGTTGCCCTTGGACTTGCCCTTCGGGTCGCCTCGCCCTTTGCCTCTGCCTTTGTCCTTGCCCCCGCCCTGTCTGGGCGGGGACGTGCCGTTTTCTGATAAGGCAGCAAGGCGTACGGCGTCGGCGCGGTCGACAGAGGACTGGCCAGCGGCCATGGTGGAGGTGTGCAGGGATGCCGCCTGGGCGGCTATGGTGCCGCCACCTGCCGGACCTGCTCGGCCAGCGCCCCCTTCATCGCCCCCTTCATCGCCCCCCCATCACGCGCCTTCTCGAAACGCCAGCGGCCCTGGTGCTGCCTCCGTGCCCCCCCGGCCGCTTGCCGGGCCCCGCCAGCCACGCGCCCGCGGCCGGGCACGCAGGAGAGGCTGCGCGCCAGACCATCCGGGGGCCCCGGGCTGACGGCGTCGGCGATGCGCTGGAAGGTCGGCGAGCCCAGGGGGGGGGAGAGATGGGAGCGGCTCCGCCAGCGGCAGCCGGCGGAAGTCACAGTTGCTACTCTCGGCGGCGCGCCCAGCCATGAACGACTGGCAGCGCGAAGCAGATCCTCACTCGCAGCCCTCAACGGAGCGCCCGGGGGGGAGATGAGCAGGGGCGGGCCCTCTCAGAAGGCTCGGAAGCCCCCCAGCCTTCTGCGAAGTTTTCTGAGCCTTCCCCGAAGGCCACAGACAACCTCTCAGAAGGCCGGAGGCCTTCTGAGAAGCCCTGCCGCCTTCTGAGAGGGCCCCCTCTCGCTCGCCGCCGAGATGCGCTGGAAGGTCGGCGATCCAAGAC